ACACACACTCACACAGACACACACACACGCACGCACGCACGCACGCACACACACACTCACTCACACAGACACACACACACACACACACACACACACACTCACACACACACACACACACTGTAGCAGACATGAGCAGAAACTCTCATCTTCCAAATTTGAAGGAAACTCTGTCGCCCCCTTCAGTACTAAACTGTTACTGCCACATTGACATGATGTACCAGTGGTGTTATTACTAACTAAAACTAGTGAAAATAATTTTCGGTAATTGAAATAGAATATAAATACTAGATCAAAAAACTCAAACTTGAAAAAAAAAAAAAGAAATGTTGCCTTTGCAAGTAACTGAAATAAGTTTAATTAGAAGTTCCAAAATTACTACAACGGATTATTATAACTAAACTCAAAATAGAAATAAAAATATTAAACCCCCAAATTGAATAAAAAATTACAAAACCACAAAGCAAAATATAATTTATTTGAAATTAAAATAAAAACTCAAAATATAAAAATAAAAGCAACTTTGAATATGAATAAATACTGTAATCGTTTATAAATTGTACTGAATTGTCACATGATGTACACCAGTGCTGTAGAAGTTCAACTATTGAAAATTGTTTTTGGTAATTTAAATGAAATATAAATATAGCATGAAAAAATGCAAATGAAGACAAAAAATCTGAAAATAAAAGCTTATCAAAATATTACTAAATACTATAGTGGTATGTAAATAAATAATTTTTAGTACCGAAAAAGTAAAACTTAAAAATTGTTTTCGGTAACTAAAATAAAATATTAGACTCAAATGTAAAAAAAAAAAAAAAAAAACTTATGATATTATGGCATCAAACTGAACAAGTAGTAAAGCTGAAATTATTAAAAATTGTTTTTGGGAATTGAAATAAAATAAAATATTAGATATGTAAACTAAATAATATAATCTCAAATTTAAAAAAACTTAAATTAGAAATGTTGTCTTGGCAACAAACTGAATAAAATTAATTTGAAGTACTAAGACTGAAATGAAAATAAAGCAAAATAGAATTATTAAAAACAAAAACTAATAAAAATGTCAAAACCAAAAAAATCTACTAAAATTAAAATAAACTTTAAATATAAAAATAAAACTAATTTTAAATATTTTAAATACTCTAATAGTACAGAAATAATACTATAAAAACACAAAAGCATACATCAGGACTACTGTACAGTTTCCTACTTGATAAACACATCAGTAGATGCACATCTGTGTTCTGCTGATTCTGATGTTTTGTGGTGTGTGTGTGTGTGTGTCTGTGTGAGTGTGTCTCTGTGTGTGTGTGTGTGTGTCTGTCTGTGCGTGTGTGTGTGTGTCTGTGTGTGTGTGTGCGTGCGTATGTGTGTGTGTGTGTCTGTGTGTGTGTG